CTTGTAGCTTCTCCATCTTGTATGCATAGCTCAAGGGGATCGGCCAACCTACTAGCCTGAAAGCAATCATCAACTGCATAATCAATAACATTAATCATGTAACAAGAATCATCACTAGAAGGTGCATGTTTCATAGCATCAGACATTTTAAAAATTATTTCCTCATCTTGAATCCTAAGGCTGAGTTGCCCTTGTTGGACATCAATCATTGCCTTCCTTGTAGCTAGGAAAGGTCTCCCTAGAATAAGAGGGACATCAACATCCTCTTGCATGTCTAACACAATAAAATCAACTGGAAAGATGAATTTATCAACTTTAACAAGTACATCTTCTATGATTCCCCTAGGATGCTTGATGGATCTATTAGCTAATTGCAATGAAACTCTAGTGGGTTGGAGTTCACCCAATCCCAATTTCTTGAAAACCGAATATGGCATCAAGTTTATGCTAGCTCCTAAATCACACAATGCCTTATCAATTTCCAAACTGCCTATAGTGCAAGGGATAGTGAGACTCCCTGGATCTTTCAGTTTCTGGGGTAGCTTGTTGAGGAGGATTGTTGAGCATTCTTCATTTAGTGCAACTGTAGCCACATCTCCCAGTTTCCTTTTGTTTTCCAATATCTCTTTCAAGAACTTTGCATAATATGGCATCTGGGCTAAAGCATCAGCAAAAGGGATATTAATATGTAAACTCTTAAACACTTCAAGAAACTTACCGAATTCCTTTTCCAATTTGTGTTGCTTTAACCTATTCAGAAATGGTACTTGCGGCTGTTGGCTTTTCTCCTTCTTTGGATCAGCTTGCTCTTCCTCCTCCTTTTCGGTTTCAAGGGTTGCATCCACCTTGTCTTCAGCCCTTACTTTCTTCTCCACTTCTTGCAGCTCCTTACCACTTCTTAAAGTGATAGCCTGTACTTGCTCTCTTGGATTCACTCTGGTATTGCTTGGTAGAGTGCCCAGTACTCTAGCTGATATCATTTGTGCCAACTGCCCGACTTGATTCTCCAAGTTCTTGATTGATGCTTCTTGGTTTTGAAATCTTTTTTTTTGCACTTGCTTTCTTGGATTCACTTCGGTATTGCTTGGTAGAGTGCCCAATACTCTAGCTGATATCATTTGTGCCAACTGTCTGACTTGATTCTCCAAGTTCTTGATTGATGCTTCTTGGTTTTGAAATCTTGTTTTTGCACTTGCTATGAACTTGGTCATCAACTCCTCTAGGTTTGTTTTCTTTTCCGACTGATTGAAGTTTTGGGGGAAGGGTTTCACCACATTTTGATTTGACCAAGACTGATTCGGGTGGTTCCTCCATCCGGGGTTAAAGGCACGAGGGTACTGATTGCCTTGCTGCCTTTGCAAGTCACCAACAAAGTCTACCTGCTCGAGGGACTGCACAAACTGATTTCCAACTTGACATTCGGTGCTGATATGACCTCCCCCACACCATTCACAAGTCACAGTCTGAACATGCATGGCTGCTATCTGCATCTCATCTATCTTCTTGCTGAGTGCACTGATTTGCACAGGTAGGGCTGTATAGGTGTCCACATTGTGAAGTCTGGACTGTCTCCTAACTTGTTCTCTCTTGGAATGCCATTGGTAGTTGTTTTCGGCCATCTCATCTATGAGTGCATGGGCAACTTCAGGGGGTTTGTTATTGGTGGAACCCCCAGCTGCAGCATCCATAATGGTCTTGTTGGCTTCGGTTAGTCCATTATAGAAGGTTAGGACTTGCAGCCATACGGTAAGTCCATGATGAGGGACCTTCCTCAACAACTCCTTGTAATGCTCCCATGACTCATACAATGACTCTCCGTCCTGCTGAAAGAAAGTGGTGATATCATTCCTCATCTTTGTTGTTTTGGATGGAGGAAAATACTTAGAGAGGAATCGGCTAGCCATTTCATCCCATGTTGCTATAGATCCAGTCGGCAAAGAATTCAGCCAAGTCTTGGCTTTGTCCTTCAATGAGAATGGGAACAACCTGAGCCTCACTGCATCATCACTAACCCCATTGTGCTTGAGTGTATCACAAATTTCCAAGAAGTTGACGATGTGAGTGTTCGGATCTTCATGAGCCATGCCGTAGAACTGAACCGTGTTTTGTATCAATTGAATGATGGCTGGTTTGATCTCAAAGTTGTTGGTCGCTATAGCTGGTATCACAATGCTTGAAGCAGCCCCGGTGAGGGTTGGTTTGGCATAGTCCATCATGGTTCTTGGTTCGGCCATCTCTTCAATTCCAGCTCACTTACCTAGAAGCTCTAAGGCGGCTGCGGAGAGTTCTTTCAATCTCGGGATCGTAGGTGATGCTCTTCGTTACACTTCTGCGTGTCATAAACTGTACAAGTCAAAGTCATAAAGAGGCTAATCTACACATATCAGAAAAGAAATCTACCAAACCAAGAAAACTGAATACTACCGAGAAAAAAAAAAGCAACGAAGACAATGAGCAAGAAGAAAGGAAACTACTTATCAGCAGTGGAGGCTAATATACACATATCAGAAACATAATATACAAAATTAAAACCAGATTAACAATGGCTAATGGTTCCTAATTTGCTGTAATAATTCCCCAGCATCGGCGCCAAAAACTTGATGCGTATTGCTTACACTAGCAAGTGCACTAGCCGATCAAGTAATAAAGTGATGAGTAGAGTATCGCTCTCACAAGGATTTATCCAACGACTACTAGTAATAAATCAGTCAATTGTTATCTGATAAATCAAATTCTTATCCTAATCAAAATCTGAATTCCTAACTAGCAAACTATCCTAATCAATTCAGATCAAACCACCTTCATGTAGAGAGAAGCAAGGCTGTATAAGAACACTAATAGATTCGGTCCAGCAATTAATTCATGAAGTTATTCAATTGAATTGGGATTCAACCATAGTTTGGTGAAATCCTAATGGCATGAGCAGCCTCTCTTGAGCACAACTCATCCTATCCATGGGTGACAATTCTTATATCTCTATCAAGAATTTAATCCCCATGGATGCATTAAGAGCAAGCAATTCGAAGGGCATCAATTTAGATTTCAATGAACACCAACCGAATCACACAACTTATCTCTAAGATGTGTTAGATTCAGTTCTTGACTAGCAGATCTGATTACCTAACTTCTTTCTCAAGCAATTCAGACAATCCAAGAATCAAGAACAATTCAGCCAAGACTGTTCTAACAATTAAAACCCTAACCAAGAAACATCAAGAACGAATCCAATCAATCGAATAACCCTAGAGAACTAATTACAAATCTGAAACATCATTAATCATGGTTCGAATTCTAGCAAGAAAGAGAAATTAATTGACAAAGTTGCATGAAACCCTAACTGAATTCGATTACCAATTGCGCAAAACCAAAGAAGAAGACAACCTAGAATTTTGCTTCAATCTTCAATTTCTTGGATGTGATTCTCCTCCAATTCGCATTCAGCAACCTTCTTCTTCCTCTAGATCTTCTCTTCTCTCCTTTCTCGCGCCTTTCTTTTCTCCTTTCTCCTTTTGGAGGTTCAAACCCTTTTCTCCCCTTTCTCTTCTCCTTTTTTTTCCTTTTCTCTCCAGCCCTCTCTCTTCTAAAAGGTAGCCACCTTTAGGACCCCCTTGGGCTGCAACTTGGGCTGCACTTGGGCCTCCCACTTGGTGGGCCGAAAGGTCTCCTTTGGAGAGTCTCGGCTGGGCTCTCTTCTTAGTGTCCCCCATAAGGCTTTGCTTCTTTATGGGCCGAATTGCTTCCACATTTTCCCTCTCAACATGGTTTTATGCTATCTTCCCCCTAAGCTGGTCCACACTCTTGAATTCCTAAAATCATTCTCAATTAGGGTGAGAAATCATGCAAATTATCATCAAAACCATGCATGAAACAATAGAAATGTTGTGTAGTTTGCGCACACATCAGCCTCCTCCGAGGGCTATACCCCCTCGCTAGACTGATGGCAAGACTCAATGAATAAGTAGCAAACACCTTAGCTATGACTTAATGTGTCAGAATACACCAGGACGGCCGAGGGCCCCATGTGCCTCAGTGCCCCACCTCGGCGGTGGCTAGCCTCCTAAACTTTCACACTTAGCGCTACCAGCAAAGGAAGCCAACCTCCACGGAGCTTTGCGCTCGACCTCATCGAAACAAGTATCCATAGATACAGGAGCTAAGCGAGCCTTGACTCCGCCTAGGCCCCATGGAGAGAGCCAGGTGATCCCCATGCCCTGCTTTAGCCTCCCTCCATCATAGGCCTCTTTGGCCTTGCCTAAGTGAACACTTAAAAGGGCGTTAGGCCAAGCAAGCCCCGGCCTAATCATGGAGGTTTTGCCTCGGCCACCCCTTTGCCACGCTTATGACGCACAAAGTAAACTGAAGAGAACTATGCTTGTCTCACATTGTGTTTTTTTTTTTCTTTTGGAGGGGCAAGGACCCTTTGGCAACAAAAGCATAAGTGCAAAAACAGTGCAAAAAATACAAGGAAAAACAACACAGCAAAACACAAATGCAACAGTTGAAGCAAAAAATAAAAAAATGCCATTGATTTTCATTATGCACAAAAATTCCTCTGGCTTTACAAATTTGTTTCATAGCCCCTCAAGCCTAATACATGTACATTGTCAAAAAAAAGAGAGAAAGAAAAAAGAGAAAAAGCTTGGCCTAAGCCTTGCCACCAGCTGGAGAGGAAGTGCAGAATCAACAGCCTCTTTAGGAGAGTCGGGGATCACCTTCAAAGATTCGACATCAGAATCTGGAAGCACCGCCCCAAGTGCCTTCTTGGTGTCCTCAATCCCATCCAAGCAAGCCTTGGAAGCGAGACCAGCCAACTCATCAACTTGTTTCCCTGCCTCCTGGGCCCTCTTCTCAGCCTCTGTAGCCCTCTTAGTTGCTTCATTGGCTCTCTTTTCTACCTTGGCCGCCCGCTTGTTCACCTCAATGATGTCTACCTCGGCCTGCTGGAGACGTCGTTCGACCTCAGAAATGAGGATCTCTACATGAGCCCTCTCCATCTGCTCTTAGGAGAGGAGATCCTGCATCTTCTTCAACTTTTCCTCGGCCTCCATGCAAAGCTTTTGTGCGTCGCTGAAGTATCGCTGGAACTCGTGGCCCTTCTTCACGGCGGTGGTGGTGGCTTGCTGAAGCTTGTCTTTCTCAGCCTCTAGCTTGTCCATGTTGGCTAGGGCCAATTTCAGCTGATCCTCTAGCCCAATAAAGTGAAGATAGACCTGCAACAAGAAAACAGTTAGCACCCAGCAGATGAACGAAGAACTGATGGAAAGGGAAGGGGAGCAAGCTGTTACATCACCTCGATAGGCTATCCTCAAACCAATGGCCTAATCGAGGTCACCAACAGGACAATACTGGAAGGACTGAACACCAGATTGGACCGAGCTAAAGGCCTATGGGTTGAAGAACTGAATAGTGTACTCTAGGCTTACTGAACTACGCCTTGGACAGCCATGGGAGAAACTCCCTTCGGCTTAACCTACGACATAGAAGCAATAATTCCAATAGAGATTGGGCAGCCGACACTCCGAGTTGAGGCATACAATGAAGCCAAGAATGACGAAGCCCTTAGAGCAAACATAGACCTACTGGAAGAAGCCCGAAAGCAAGCATAGATAAGGGTAGCCGCTTACCAGTAGAGAGTGGCCCGCTACTACAACTCCAGGGTAAAAGAAAGACACTATCAAGAGGGAGACCTTATCAGAAAAGTCATGGTCCCTGAACCTGGAGTAGGGAAGTTGGGCCCCAACTGGGAAGGTCCCTACAGAATCAAGTGAGTCATTGGCCCTGACACTTTTCACCTAGAACACCTAGATGGAAGACCTATACTTCGGACATGGAATTCAGAACCTTTGGATGTACTACAAGTGATTGTAACTTCTTTTTGAAATTGTTGAATGAATGAAGCAAAGTTCCTCTTCGGCTCAATGCTCAGCGCATGTACCTACTAAGTTCTTATAACTCTTCTGCCTCGCGACTGGCAGGGGTGCACGACCTCTTTCGAGGGCTATACCCCCTTGCTAGACCGATGCCAAGACTCAATGAATAAGAAGCGAACACCTTAGCTATGACTTAATGTGTTAGAATACACCAAGACGGCCGAGGGCCCCATGTGCCTCAGTGCCCCACCTCAGCGGCGACTAGCCTCCTAAACTTTCACACTTAGCGCTACCAGCAAAGGAAGCCAGCCTCCACGGAGCGTTGCGCTCGACCTCACCGAAACAAGTATCCAGGGATACAGGAGCCAAGCGAGCCTCGACTCCGCCTAGGCCCCATTGAGAGAGCCAGGCGAGCCCCATGCCCTACTTCGGCCTCCCTCCATCATAGGCCTCTTTGGCCTTGCTTAACTGAACACTTAAAAGGGCGTCAGGCCAAGCAAGCCTTGGCCTAACCATGGAGGTTTTGCCTCGGCCACCCCTTCGCCACACTTTTGACGCACAAAGTAAACTAAAGAGAACTACGCTTGTCTCACATTGTGTTTTTTTTTTTCTTTTGGAGGGGCAAGGACCCTTCGATAACAAAAGCATAAGTGCAAAAATAGTGCAAAAAATACAAGGAAAAACAACACAGCAAAACACAAGTGCAACAGTTGAAGCAAAAAATCAAAAAATGCCACTGATTTTCATTATGCACAAAAATTCCTTTGGCTTTACAAATTTGTTTCATAGCCCCTCAGGCCTAATACATGTACATTGTCAAAAAAAAAAAGAGAAAGAAAAAGAGAAAAAGCCTGGCCTAAGCCTCGCTCCGAGCTGGAGAGGAAGTGTAGAATCAGCAACCTCTTTAGGAGAGTCGGGGATCACCTTCAAAGATTCGGCATCAAAATCTAGAAGCACCGCCCCAAGTGCCTTCTTGGTGTCCTCAATCCCATACAAGTAAGCCTCGGAAACGAGATCGGCCAACTCATCGACTCGTTTCCTTGCCTCCTGTGCCCTGTTCTCAGCCTCGGCTGCCTTCTGTTCAGCCTCTGTAGCCCTCTTAGTTGCCTCATTGGCCCTCTTTTCTGCCTTGGCCGCCCACTTGTTTGCCTCAGCGATGTCTACCTCGGCTTGCTGGAAACACCATTCAGCCTCAAAAATGAGGCTCTCTGCACGATCCCTCTCCATCTGCTCTCGGGAGAGGAGATCCTGCGTCTTCTTCAGCTTTTCCTCGGCCTCCATGCGAAGCTTTTGTTCGTCGCTGAAGTATCACTGGAAGTTGTGGCGCTTCTTCACGACGGTAGTGGCGGCTTGCTGAAACTTGTCTTTCTCAGCCTCCAGCTTGTCCATGTTGGCTAGGGTCAATTTCAGCCGATCCCCTAGCCCAATAAAGTGAAGATAGACCTGTAATGAGAAAACAGTTAGCACCCAACATATGAACGAAGAAATGAAGGAAAGGAAAGGGGAGCAAGTTGTTAGCTCAGCTAGGCTCTACAGCCCCTCCTCGTACAACCTATTTGGGGCCATCCCCAACATTTGGAAGCGGTCCCATGCCAGGAAAGCCCCACTCACCAATGTCGAGCCAACTCCCCACGTTGCGGATAGAGTCCCCCTCGCGGATCTCCCACTCAGGGCAGAAGATTTGATCAGACCGTTGGGCGAGCTCCTCCAACGGTGTGGGAGTAGAAAATGGCTCCATTCGCTTCTTGTGGGGCCCTCTAGGGCATCACCGATAGAACTCCCGGTGCAGGCCACCTTCTACTGCGGTTGACCCCCCACGACCCCCTCGGCCGGCCTTTTCCTCCCTTCCTCGACCCCATCGGTAGGTCCTCTCAGCACCTCGGTTGGATGTTGTGGCACTTTCTCCTCGCGCCCCAGCTAGCCCTCCTCGATGGGTCCCTTCCCCTTTGTGGGGATCTATGGAGTGGCCCCCTTTGGGTGAGCTGTTGAAGAAGTTCCATTGGCAAGGACCTGTGCTCTCATCCCCTTGGTAGGGACCTGGCGGGAAGACCCCCCTTCCTAGGGGCTGATGCCTTCTCCTTCTGGGTTGTCGTGCCCCCGGTGGGCCTCTAAGGCGTCTATCTGCCAACCTTCGCCCGCTCCTTCGTTATCACGCGGGCATGGTCCAGTATGGCCTTTCGAGCATCTATCGGCACTTCTGCAAGAAAAACAACAATTAGTACAATTGCACAAAGATGAAGGCGAGGAAAACGTGGAAAGGAGTTGCGTGGCTTATTCTTCCGAGGGGGTAGGGCTGAGTCCCGCGAAAACCAATGGGATTTCCTCCTCCACGAAGGGTTGGGCTCGGACTCTTCCCAGGTTGAGCAGCCGCGCAAGATCGTCACTTTCCTCATTCATAATCAAGGGGACACTTTTCTCTGCAAACAAGTTGGCCTCTCCCCACCCCGACTTGAAGGACCAGCCCTCGGGACAAGACAAAAAGAAATATTAACTCTTCCAGTTGTGCATAGAAGAGGGGTTATCTACGGGCTTGGACTGGCGGGGTTAGAAGTAGAAGACACCAGCTTCAGAAAAGTGCTTCCTCAGCACGAAGTTCGCTCAGAAGAGTTTTGGCATCAACTCCACCCCTTGGAGCCGAGCCACCACCAGCATCGCTACAATGGTTCCTATTGCATTGGGCGCCAGTTGTCTAAGGGTAATCCCATACACCCTTAGCAGGTCAGAGATCAATGGATAATGGGGGAACTGAAGATTGAATTGGAAGAAGTGTTGATAAACGCAGATCTCCTCCTCCTTGGGAGTCCACGGCCGATCACCTGGCTCGGGCACCCTCACACCATAGGACGAAGGGATGAAGTATTGCCTCGTTAGGGCCTTGACCTGATCCCACTCTAGAGAACCTTTGAACTCTGGACGAGAAGGATCAGCCTTGGCCACTACCCCAGCAACACTCTCAACCCTCATCCTAGGGACGAGGTATGGGTCTTGCTCCCCCTCGACTTGGGGGGGACCCCTCGGCCTCCCTCGGTGTCATAGATGTGGTACTCTCACAGGGAGGGTCATTGCCTTGGCGGATGTCTTCGGCTCCCCCGGAAGTTATCCTCTCCTAGAGCACCTCCATCTTGCACCGAAGGGAAACAGAACAAAGGACTTAAAGGGGAAAGGGGAGAAGGGGTTTGAATGGAGCTCCCCTCCGATACATTTGGAAGTTCATAGCACTCAGGTCCAGAATCTGAGAAAGACATTGTTGGAGATTACCTAAAAAGGGGAGTGAAAAGAAAAGAAGTGAAGGCAGAGTGTTGAAGACTAGAGAATCTAGGAGCTGAGTTCATTCGAAAGCGAAAGCACTTGGAGGCAAAATGACAAGAAGTCTGTTGTTGAAGCACTTATTTAAAGAGGAACGAATGGCCCAGATTTCTCGAGATCCAACGGCTGAGAAGCCACCGCCTCCACAGTCCAATCATGGCACACCGCGTAACACTCACCCTCGGAAGGTGAAACTATGCACTAGCGAAGGCACAGATTGTCCTTGATCCAATGGACGCAAAATGCCTCCGCACCTGCGATCCAGCCGTGCCGCACCCCGAATGCCCATCCTCGAAAGGCGAAATAACACCCGCCCTCGAAAAGCGAAATGACACTCCGGGTGAACCAACGTGTCCACCCACTGTGAACCACTGGCTTATGCGACCCGGCCGCGCGAATGCACGCACCAGTCTGACTGGAAAGCCATCCCATGCATGGACCCTCGGCTTAAACAACCTTTGGCTTCACAGGCCCTTGGCTTAATAGGTCCTTGGCCCAAATGGCGGCACCAGAGCATCCGCACTGAGCACGCCCCCTAGGTCACTTGTCCGAAGCAGTAGTATTGTGGACCTCTTGCAACCTCGGCCCAACTTACGAAGACGAACCAGGCAGAGATGCGAAAGAGGACGCCACTGCAGGGTACACCTCGACTACCGGGCCCACTGGCGCTCACCATTACTACTTCCATCATCCGAAGCCAAATTTTTCTCCTCAGCCTCGAGAGTGGGGGCAAGTGATGTGGGGTGACCCAACCCAACCCATTCGAGGCTGGGAGGCCTACCCCACGAGCACTAGATCTGGGAACGAGATCCGCTACAGTAGAAGTTACTCTGCTCCTCTCGTACGGAGCCAATTGTAGAGCACCCACGCGTCCCTGCAGAGCTCTCTGACTGCCCTCGAACGACACCCATCCCAGGCATCCATCTCCACCTACCTCCATGCGGCTCAAGTATAAATAGGGGTGCCCCAATCTAGGTAAGGAGGATCGAATACAATTTGCATCTAGACTTGGAACTGATATCAAAAGCTATATTCTAATTCCCCTCTTCGTACCCCATACTAACTTGACTGTTGGAGACTCTACCACGGGTTCTCACCTAGGGCATTTGACGTATTCTGCCTTGCAGCACCTCGGCCACCTGCCATCGGCTTCTATAGTACTCGGAGCCCTCTCCTCCTCGGCCTTGGCAACAAGCTCCCCAAACCCTTGAAGCATTCGGCCAGCCTTCGGAGTCTAGGGATGAAATTACTTTGTTGTCCTCGGCCTTCTCGAGCATCAACAAAATCCATTAAGGATGTTGGATATCCAAATATGATCCAATCCGATAATATAAATCTCATATATGATTGGATTTCACAAAGGCTCATTTGAATTTGAATCTGTAAGGACGTTGGATATTTCGAATATGATCTGATGTGAGTTAATTTATATAAAATTTAATTAATTATTAAAAGGAAAAAACAAATAATCTACATAAAGAAAAGCAAGAATACAAGAAAATTTCAACTATTTTTATCATATATATACATCTTTTTATAAAAAAAATAAATAATATAAAAATTATGAAAATGCAAATCCTGCAAGGAACCTAAATTCGATCAGATGTAATATGAAAATCCGATAGGAGATATCCAAATCCAACAAAATATGATCAGATTATGATTCGGTCCATTTGCACCCTCTAATATTGGATTGGTTGTCCATAGGGAAAGCTAGTCTTAAAAAATGAGCTATTTTAGTGTTAGAAATATGGTGGGTGCTTGGCTAAGCACAAATGTCAACAGGTATCGATTTTGATGGCTTGAGTTAAATGATAAATCTTCACTGATCTGATCATATCGGGTTAGCATTGGATCAGCCTTGACCAGGTTCTGGTTGATGTAGACCCATGTTGAACCCAGCCGGCCCATTGATATTTTAGTATTTAAAATACTTGTATTGTGACCAACCTACTTTCACAATACAAATTTGTTAAATAAAAAACTAAGGGTAAGGTAGAACAAAAAAGAAAAAAAATTAAGCATTCTTAATGGGAAATCAGATCTGCACATAACCTTCCTACCGAAACGCAACCTTCGGTGGGTGCTGTATTCCTAGATGTATTTGGACAATCAACTCCTACTGAAACTAAGCCTCCTACTTGTATATATAGGATGTACCTTTCAAAATAAAGGACAAGAAGAATTTCTACAAAGTTTTCATGGTATCAGAGCAAGGTTGCTTCGAGAAGTAGAAGAGGAAGGTCTGTCGTTGTTCCTTTGTCGGCAAACGAAAACAGAGCAGTGGCACTGCACCCGTAACTGTGCACTGCACTCTTCCTGGGCGAAGCAACCCCACCTCGGACGAAATCCTTGTGAAACGGTTCCACCTCTGAAGCTAAGAAGTTCTGCGATCACAAAGGTACAAGCGGCGCGAGAGTGCCATTTTTCAGGCACCGTCGTTGTCGTCTTTCTGTCGACAAACAAAAACAGAGTAGTGGCGCACCCGTAACTGTGCACTGCACTCTTCTTGGGCGAAGCAACCCCCCATCGGACGAAGTCCTTGTGAAACGGTTCGGTCTCTGAAGCGAAGAAGTTCTGCGATCATAGGAGGTACAAGCAGCGTGAGAGTGCCATTTTCAGGCACCGTCGTCGTCGTCTCTCTGTCGACAAATAGAAATAGAGCAGCGGCGCACCCGTAACTGTGCGTTGCACTCTTCCTGGGCGAAGCAACCCCCCATCGGACGCAGTGTTGGTTATCAAGGCATGCAGAAGAATCCTGGTGCCAAAAACCATTGAAGCCGAGCCCGACCATGGCAATCCCAGAACTTGACGAGGGTATCATCGCCACACCTGAGAACAGATAGAGTTTACCCAGTCTAGGGTACTGAACGAGTCAAACTGGGTGAGAGTGGCCGCGCAGCTGACGCAGGGGAATCTGTTCCTTGAGATCGAAGACTTGGACGAGTCCAAACTCGCCTACTGCGGCCAGGAGC